ATAGGATTCTTAAGGGAATCTGGTTTCCCCATGGACTTTGTTCATCAGAAGATCGCAAAAGGGTTCCCATGACCCTGGAACCGTCATAAATATGAGTCAGTTGCCAAGTGTCTGAATTTTAATCACATGACCATGGAGATGCTGCAACGGTCATAAGTGTGAAAAACAGTCATAAATCACTTTTTTCAATGCTGTTGTGAATTTAAACAGTCACTAAACAAACTATGGTAAATTGAAGGCTACCTGTAATGTCTATCTCATTCTGCCTTTCTGGTTTGAATGGCTTAATTAAAATCAGGGTAGACATTGCTTTGTGAGCTGAATCAATATTACAATTATATCTGCTAAGTGAGACCAGTTAGGGCGGTTAAAGACTAGGAACTGAGTTTACACGACATATTAAACTCAGGTTAATAAACACAATGGCAGTGTTCACCTGATTGGCCATGTTCAAGCAGCCAAACTATGTAATGTTTTAGCATCATGGCTTGGGTCGTATCACAGAATACAACAATGACTAGTTTTCTACACCAAATTGCAAACATCCCACTTCATTTTACCTTAGTTTAGCATGTTGCTCAAATACAAACAATGCATCATTCCAATCTCAATAATCCACTCATTCCCTGGTAGTGACCATGGTGATCCTACACAAGCCCATACTCCTATGATACACAAGATTAATGGTAATTACTTTACCTCAGTGTGATTGTTGTGTATCATCCAAATTATGTTATTTACCGAGGAATAGTAACAGATGAATCTAATCTAATTTATAATATCATATCAATATAATATAATCTAGAAGCATCAGAGAACTGCAGGGCCACCAGAAAATGCTTTAACAGGGAAAAAACAAGATACCCCAATTCCAGTTCATGCTCCCACTGATCTAACACAAAACCCAGATCAGGCAAAATACCACTTAGGGCCCTAGATGACCTGGGACAGCCCATGGCTGTCATAGTAGCCTTAGATTCCATAGCCAGGGAAGGCAAGTTAAAGCCCCCAAAGAGCATAAGCCTGGGGAATTCCACTACCAACCCAACCACAGAGTCAAGGAGCTCAGGCAAGGGATATTGTTACACAACAATAGCAACAATCTGAGATGAACACTAGAACCCAACTTAACAAATGGAGTCTTGAACCCAGGAATCTGTGGAGCAGCACCTCTGAAGGTCACCCAACCTCTTGGATGACACTCACTGTACCTCCACGTCTATCCTGGTGTCTTGGCTAATTCTTGGAAATAGGCCTTTCTGCCCAGAAAAAAAAAAAGTCAAAAATATTAATGAGCATGACAGGAAGCTGATGGAAGTGGTGGTGAAAATATTACTTATTTGCCCTTCAGTAAATGATAACTTTGTGATGAGCCATCTCCATTTGATGGGAATTCTTATAGCATATGCTAAATATTCCAAATCTGCCCACCAATGTTGGTCAAACCTCTGGTTTATGTCCAATTCTGTTGGATCCAGAATAGAAGACAGACAGCAGATATTCAGAATCAGAAAATCTTTTATTTATTAAGGATTCTGTCTCACTAGACTGTCACTAAGACCTTGACTTGAAATCATGATATAGCATTGGGTTGACTGTGAAAGGCAAGTTGTGACAATAAGGAATAAAAGAACAATTTCTGTTCCGTTTTAATATCTCTAGTTTCAATTATCATTTCAATGAACACTGAAAATCATTTCAGTTACTTTGAAAAAACAGGCAAAGAATAACCTCAGGAATTTAGTATGAGACTAACACTTGGGAGCTAGACTTATCTTGATTACATCACTGATCAACTCTTTTTTTGGCTTTGGGATCACTTATGCCTCAATTCTCTCTTTGTACATGACTTTGTACTTGATTGTAAATCACCATGAGATAATAAAGAACTCTCAGGATGGTAAAGTCTACATGCCCAGTTTTCCAACAAAATGTGTTAATATCACAGAATTTAATTATTTATTCCGAATCCCATGACAGCAAGTGTTAGTTGCAACAACTAAATTTACGTTACATAATTAGTAACATAGTAATGTGCTCTTAAGTATAGTAACTTACAGAATTACAGAATAAGTAACATAATAATATGTTCTTTGCTGTCCTGACTTCATGTATTTCATTAGTCCATAATGTATTTGCTTAATTTGGGCAGAGAATGTTGGCAAGGACTTAGCTGCTGCAATCTGCAAACCATAAGTTATATCTTAGTGTGATATAACACTCTGAAAATATGTATTTCTGGTATTTTTTAAAATTTGGAATACCTTTTTCTTCAAACCAATTTATAAAACTGAATCAGCATATTGCTTTTCAAATATGTGTCTCTGCAACTGGATATATATTTCAACTACTTCTATCCATAAACTGTGAAACCATTCAGAACATTATGTCCTTATTTCTAAGAACCACATATACAATTTTCTAAAATCAGCCAGTTTAAGTAAAGTTTACTGTCATGTGTCAATGAAATAGCCTTTCACCCTACAAACTCCACAGGTCTTTAACAGATGCTCTTTCTATGGAATTGAATTTAACTAGGCTGGAAATGAGTACATCTGCTCTATTTTTCTTACTGCCATCAAAATTGGAGGCTTTCAAAAATAAGTCAACAAACCATGTTTGGAAGAAAATGTTGGCAAGCATTGTTTATGTTTCTTGGAAACACAAACAATTTCCAAATAATCAGCAACATTTCCTGTTTCTGGAAATGATTCAAGATTAGAAATAAATCCTTTGCACCAGCAGTCATAGAAAGGCACGCCACAACAATACATTTTCTGTAGCCATATTTCTGACAATAAATTTTAGGTCTTCTGTAGCAAAGCAGTTGTGAAATTTTAATGAATAACCAAAGCATAACTTCAGATCCACAGCAGGCACACAATGAGAAAAATTAAGAAACAATCCTTTCCCCAGAAAAAGGGCAGGAAGTATTATTGTTGTCTGGTGCTTCCTCAATGTCTAATTAGACCTGAATTAAATAGAGGCAGCTCACTTTCTCAGAAAAGCTTGTTTGTTTCCTTCTCACACATGTACATGCATACAGACCAATAAAGCATAAGAAACAAACTGAACTCAAAAATTGCAAATGATGCTCTGGAACAGAACTGTGAGTTTCAGACCTTTACCTCCTCTGACATTATGTAGTGCTATTTTTAATCCCAGGATGTAGAAGACTGAATCACAACAAAGAGAAAAAACTGAGTACTGGAGCAGTAGAACAGGTATCATGTCTCTGAGTGGGTTAAATATATTTTTTATTGAAGATTTGCTGGGGACTATTATTAGTCTAAGGTTTCTAATAATGATATTTCTGTTTGAATTTGTCCTTAATGTTATATACATATACATGTACACATACATACATACACACAGACACATAATATAAAGAGTGTGCTGCAGCTGCCAAAAAAGCCAATGCAGCCCTAGGCTGCATGAACAGAGGGATAGAATCAAGATCACTTTAACTATTAGTATCACTTTATAATGCCTTGGTAAGACCGCACTTGGAATATTGCATCCAGGTTGGTCACCACGATATAAAAAAGATGTTGAGACTCTAGAAAGAGTGCAGACAAGAGCAACAAAGATGATTAGGGAACTGGAGCCTAAAGCATATGAAGAACAGTTGTTGGAATTGTTGTTGGTCTCGTTTAATGAAATGAAAGACAAGGGGTGACACGATAGCAATGTTCCAATATCTAAGGGGCTGCCAAAGAAGAGGGGCTCAACCTATCCTTCAAAGCATATGAAGGCAGAACAAGAAGCAATGAATGGAAACTAATCAAGGAGAGAACCAATAGAAGTAAGGAGAAATTTCCTGACAGTTAGAACAATTAATCAGTTGAATGGCTTGCCGTAAAAAGTTGTGGGCACTCCAATACTGGAGGTTTTAAAGAAGAAATTGGACGACCATTTGCCTGAAATGGTATAGGGATTCCTACCTGAATAGGGAGACTAGAAGACCTCCAAGGTCCCTTCCAACTTTGTCATTCTGTTAAGACTTCAAAAGAGCGGCCACCTTAATTTATTGTCAGTATTGAAGCAACCCTATTGGTTTGTCCTTACAAACCACAATACAAACAAAACAAACTACCTGGGTTCAGATGTCATGAAGAACTCTGGTTAAGGTTTTACTGTAGAAGCTCATCTAGTGATATGGACTTGGAGGAGAACAAGGTGATTTTGTGCATGTGAAAGCATTACATCTATTCGCACCTCCTTCAATCAAATATGCCTTTCTCTGGAATCTTAAGATAACTGAACAGCCACTTAATTCAGGGCTATATCTGGGCTCCAAAAATGTAGTCAGCAACAAACTTTACCCTTTTGTTGCTACCTAATGGACATCTGGAGTTTTGCAGCCCTGATACCGTAGCCCTAACTTTATTGTACGTGAAAGTTTTCACTGTCTTTCTTATTGGTTCAAAATGGAAGGTGAGAACAGGGAAAGGAAAGCATATGGATAAAAGTAAATAAATAATGAGCTGAGAATAATCAGTGGCCCACTATTTCTGAAATATACCATTGTAAAATAGTATACTTAAAATGAGGAGAGCTAAAAGATTTCTCTGATACTACTATGAAAGGCATAATGACAGTGTATTTGTTTTTTGGCTTAGCATCATATACAAACCTAAACTTTAAGGTTTAATATCTGCAAACTACAACACTATGGCTTGTTTAGAAAATCATGAATAACAAACATTGTCACAGCTTAATATAGTTTTAACTGAATAAGAAAACATGATGCTGCCAAAACATATGTTATTCAGACTACTTAAAAGGATATAGTTAAAAATAAGCACTATTTTTTTAAAAAAAATTAGGTAGAAATAGGATACCAAATCAAAATTCACTACAAAAAATATTATTCTGATTACCAAAAGTGTCAAACATTGGTACTAATGAATACCCAATATTCTTCTGAAGGCATAGTTTTATCAAAATGCTGACATAAAGAAAGCAAACATAATGCAAGGAAAAAAAGCACATCTTACTTGTCTGAGCTGCTTAACATCACCAAATATCTTCATCACTCCATCAATCTCACGCTCTAACCTTTGAGCCCAATTCTGCATCCTGCAAAAGAAAGTTTGGAAGGTAGAGTCACAAAAGAATGTGGTTAAAATTCAGCACTTAACATAGCACTAGCATAGCTAACATTCTTTGTTCTTATGTTCAGAAGATCCAGCATGTCTGCCTCCCATGCAATACAATTTTATCAGCTGACCAAAGTCCAGAACTTGATACTCCATAAATATATACAGAGAGACGGAGAGAGAACTAAAACTAAAAAAAAAATGTGTGTGTGTGTGTGTGTGTATGTATGTATAACTAAGATCTGCTCCACTTTCTACCATTATCTAAAAATATAACCACCTCAACTACAGCTCAATAGTGAGCTAGCAAAGAAACATACATTCATGCAAAGGAACAATTGCCTGTTAACATTTTTGTGCTTTCCTATAACATTTTATAATACATAATATCTGCTTTGGCTGCCATTTGTAAAATCATATAGAAATATATAAAATGTGCCACAGCTAGTCCTTATGCCTGCTTTATAGACCCACACATTTTGGGCTGTTAGGTAAAGAATAAGGTAGAAATGAGTATGAGTTAAAAAAAACAAAAGAACAATCCAGTTTCCCTAAGATGTAGAGAAAAAGACTTCACACTTCCAGGGAAGAAATGGCAGACTGAAGACAGCTCCATGAATAGTGGAGCCACTGATTGTACAGAATAAAGAAGTGGAACCAGATCAGCTCTTTCATAATTCCCCATAGGAAAGAACCTGAGATCACCCACAAATGCTCCAGACAGCTGCTCCTCATAAGAAGACCTCAAGATAGCAGTCTCTGGTAGGTTTAAAGCTCCAGGAAATGACAGAATAAGTATCTTGCTCAAACTGCAGTTAGTGCATTTGAAAGGACACTGTGTTTGCAGACTTTTTTTCTAATCACTTTCAGAAATTGCTTCATAACTGCTTTTCAGCTATCAGGGAACTTTGGGTCAGCTTTGGAAAAATGTTATAACATTTTCTTTCTTTCTTTAATTCAACTTATATACCGCCCTTCTCCCCAGGGGGACTCAGGGCGGTGGACAGCCAAACTTAAAACACATATAGTACAAAAGTTAAGAAAAAACTAAAATAAATTAAATCATCGGCATTTCCAATTTAAAATCCCAGATCTGCAAAATCGAAAAGTTCCCAATTTAAAACCCAGAATCAATAAAATCAAAAATTTAAAACCCCATTAAAACCATTTAAGCTAGGCCAGCTTGTTGGAATAAATAAGTCTTCAGGGCCTTTCGGAAAGCGCGGAGGTCCGGGATCAATCGTATTCCAGGAGGTAGCTCATTCCACAGGTTGGGTGTCCCCACAGAGAAGGCCAGCCGACATTGCTTGGCCGATGGCACCCTGAGGAGGCCCTCTGTGCGAGCGTACTGGCCGGTGGGAGGTTATCAATAGCAGCAGGCGGTCTCACAGGTATCCCGGCCCTATGCCATGGAATGCTTTAAAGGTGAACCAACACCTTGAAGGGCACCCGGAAGACCACTGGGAGCCAGTGCCGCTCGTGCAGGAGAGGTGTTATGTGGGAGCACCCTGTGGCTCCCATAATCACCCGCGTGGCTGCATTCTGGACCAGTTGGAGCCTCTGGGTGCACCTCAAGGGGAGCCCCATGTAGAGAGCATTACAGTAGTAACATAGTACAGTAAATTTTCTTTCAATCCACAGTGAAAGAAGTTTTTAATGTAAGTTTTAGGACTTTAAAAGTTATTTTTGAATAAACCACAAAAGATGATTACAATTTTGATTTTAGAAAGTTACAAGCAGACTAGGCATCCACAAAATTTGAAATAAAGAGTTAGGAATTAATTATAAAGAACCCTTCCCATGGAAACATGCTTTTATTTTGAATTCTAAAAAAAGACTTTAAAGGTTGGACACTAGAGGGAACTTGTCAGCCTCCCAAGTAGTCCAGATAGGAAACACAATAAGATGAGCTAATTTTACTTTATTGTAGGGCTCCAATAACAGAATCCTGCAAGTCTGAAAGTACAAATCCTGCCATCTCTTTTTACCATTGATAAATTGGGGCAGATTCTTTCTAAAGTTTTTTCTTTGTCCACTGTTCAGTTGCAGTCTCTTTCCCACTTTTAACTGATTGTTTCCTAGGAAGCATTTCTTCCCGATTTGCCAAAGTCACTCCCATATACTATTTCAGAACTAGAAGGAACTAAAGATTATAACCGAATGAGAAGAACACTCAAACTCAACTCACAATTACAGAATGTAGCAGCATATTTTAATACTGGACATAGCGAAGAATATTTGGGAACAATGGACTCAAAAGTTAGTTTTAAAAGAGTGTCCAGTTCTGTGTTTCAAAAGTATTATGGAAGAGGAACAAGTTTTACCTGACCACAATGAAACCGATTTGAAAGTGGATGTTAAAATGACATGGAAAAAATGTTACACAGGACATGCAAAAGAAACTGGCTAATGTCTTAATAATTAAAAATTATATACAAAAACAAATCAAGAGATGAGCTGGATAACTATCTTATACTGGATTTACAAAAGAGGATTTTTAAAGCTTTGAATAATTTTATAAGAGACAAAGAAAAAATAAAAACAAAATTATGGGATATTATTTGAAGGCACTAAAGCTCAAGATCATTAGAAGTAAAAAGATTAAATGTAAATTTGGTTTATTTGATCAAGGCTAAAATAGATATGTTGTTATATCTGGTAATGCATGTCAGACATAAATACAATCGAGAGAGTTCAGAGATATTTTACAAGAAGAGTCTTCCATTCCTCTAACCGTAATAACCGTAACCCTGCCACGTGGCAGCAACCCTGCCCGAGCTACTCGACGTCATTGCCGGGGTGGCGGTTGACACCCCCAGACTTATTGTCATGGGGGATTTCAACCTTCCGTCTGCGGGTGAGGCGTCAGAGGTGGCTCGGGAGTTTATGGCTTCCATGACGGCCATGGACCTGACCCAGTTAGTTCAAGGCCCAACTCACATTGGGGGACACACTCTGGACCTGATTTTTATCTCTAGTCAGTGGTTGAATGATCTTGGTAGAGGGGACCTAGACATCAAACCCTTGTCATGGACAGATCATTCGCTCCTTCACTTAGACTTTCCTACCGCTTTCCTCCGCCGCAGGGAGACGGAACCGACCAAATGGTTCCATCCCAGGCGTCTGATGGACCCCGAAAGGTTCCTGATGGAGCTTGGGCCATTTCCTGAGACTCTGGCACACGACTCGACTGAAGAGCTGGTGGCCGCCTGGGAGAGTGCGGCCGCCGGAGTTTTGGACCGCGTCGTGCCTTTGCGGCCTCTGACCCGATGCCGATCTCAACTGGCTCCTTGGTTCTCTAAGGAGCTGAGAGAGATGAAGCGTCGGAAAAGACGCCTAGAGAGCATTTGGAGGACTAGTCAATCCGATTCCGACCGGACACAGGTGAGGTCTTATATCAAGACCTACCTAGTGGCGATAAAAGCGGTGAAATCTAACCATTTTTCCGCTCTTATCACATCTGCAGAGAACCGCCCAGCCGCCCTGTTTAGGGTGACCCACTCCCTTCTTCGGGGGGGGGAATGCGGGAAGATCCCTTGCAGGGTCGTGCTGAGGATTTTGTGCAATTCCTGCATGATAAAGTCGCTCGGATTCGGGATGGCTTGGATTCTGATTGGATGAGTCCAGGGGAGGAGACGAGGGTAGGTCTTGAGAATATTATCTGGGAGGAGTTTGATCCTGTGGCTCCCGAGGATGTGGACAGGGTTCTGGGTAAGATTAGTGCCGCCACGTGTTTATTGGACCCGTGTCCCTCCTGGTTGGTACTGGCCTCCTGGGAGGTTACATGAGGCTGGCTCCAGGGGATTATAACTGCTTCTCTGAGCGAGGGTGCCTTTCCTGCCGCCCGGTCTCCAACCTTCGTTTTGTGGCGAAGGTTGTTGAGAGCGTGGTGGCACGACAGCTTCCCCGACACCTGGATGAAGCTATCTATCTGGACCCGTGCCAGTCGGGCTTCAGGCAGGGGTACAGCACAGAAACGGCATTGGTCGCGTTGGTGGATGATCTCTGGAGGGCTCGGGACAGGGGTTGCTCCTCTGTCCTAGTCCTATTAGATCTCTCAGCGGCTTGTGATACCATCGACCATGGTATCATGCTGCAGTGGTTGAGGGGGTTAGGAATAGGGGGCATCGTTTTGCGGTGGTTCTCCTCCTTCCTCTCTGACCGCTCGCAGTTTGTGTTGGCAGGGGGGCAGAAGTCGACCTCGAGGCGTCTCGCAGGGGGAGTGCCGCAAGGGTCGGTCCTCTCACCCCTTCTGTTCAACATTTATGTGAAGCCGCTGGGTGAGATCATCCGTGGTTTTGGGGTGAAGTGTCATCTGTACGCTGATGATACTCAGCTATACATCTCCACCCGAGACCACCCCAACGATGCCCTTGATGTGATGTCTTGCTGCCTGGAGGCCATGCGGGTCTGCATGGGGAGGAACAGGCTCAGACTCAACCCCTCCAAGACTGAGTGGCTGTGGCTTCCGGCGTCCCGATATAGTCAGCAGGTGCCATCGCTGACTATTGGGGTTGAATCCTTGTCCCCCACGGAGAGGGCTCGCAATCTGGGTGTCCTCCTGGACGCACGGCTGTCTTTAGAAGAGCATATGACAGCCGTGGCCAGGAGAGCCTTTTATCAGGTTCGCCTGATTCACCAGTTGCAGCCCTTTCTGGACCGGGATGCTTTGCGCATGGTCACTCATTCCCTTGTCACCTCCCGGCTGGACTATTGTATTGCTCTCTACATGGGGCTCCCCTTGAAAAGCACTCGGAGGCTCCAGCTGGTCCAGAATGCGGCTGCACGGGTGGTTATGGGCGCAACCTGTTGTGCCCACGTGACACCCCTCCTGCGCAAGCTGCACTGGCTCCCAGTGGTCTTCCAGGTGCGATTCAAGGTGCTGGTTACCACCTTTAAAGCGCTCCATGGCATAGGACCCGGGTACCTTCGAGACCGACTTCTGCCACCAATAGCCTCCCACCGGCCAGTTCGCTCCCA